GCCCCCAGGGAATGGCTGGAGCTGTGTCAGGGCAGGCTCAGGGTGGATCTCAGGGCAAGGTTCTTCCCCCCCAGGCTGGTTGGGCACTGAACAGGCTCCCCAGGGCAGTGGGCACAGCCCCAAGGCTGCCAGAGCTGCAGGAGGCTTTGGCTGATCCTCTGGGGCACAGGGGGTGACTCTTGGGGCTGGGCCTGTGCAGGGCTGAGGGTTGGGCTATATGATCCTTGTGGGTCTCCTCCATCTCAGGATCCCAATTCCATGAAATCCCTTTTCCTGAGCTGCACTGTTGGAAGTCCCAGCAGGGCTGTGCCCGAGGGCAGAGCTGGAGGTGCAGAGGATTCACTTGGCCCAACAAAGTGCAGTAACACCCAGCCCTCGGCACAGCTCTCAACACATTTAAGGACATTTGGCCCCCACAGCACTAAGGAATGAGAATTAAACTCACCTCTTTCCCAATCAGCTTCACCCAGACTTTGTCCCCAACATCCACAATCTCCGAGGGTTTATCCACACGGCAGGAGGACATGTGAGTCCTGTGCACGAGGCCTGCACGTGGAGTTGGGGGACAAGACAGAGAAAAAGTGAGGACAAGTCTCCACTGAGCCTCAGATTTGCCTTCCAGAACAGCAGTCCCTAAAGTGGCCTGGAGAATCAATTCTATAAGGTGCGGGAAGAGCATGTTTTTAATATTATAATAAATAAAAAAACCCTAATAGTCTTATTTCACCGTTACCTCATTCCTTTATTATTTAACAAATAAAATAAAATCAACTAATAGTGCTTATCTCATCTTTAGCTCATTCTTTCAATATTTAACACATCAAAACAAATCAAGAGTTCTTAATCTTTAGCTCCTTCTTTTATGATTTTACAGACAAAAAGCCCACAGTAAAATATCCTGGTTACCAAAACTCCCACACCAGAAGATCCTGACATTGCCAAAAAAAGACTGAGAGGGTTTTTTTTGGTATTCTCGAAAACACCCATCATCTTCTAAACACTTTCCAGCTCCAATTTCTTTCCAATTTAGGGGGGGAAATAAATCCCTTTCTAAGCATTTTCTAAAAGCTTTTAATTCTTGGCTTGAAAACGCCAGCCTGAACCTGCACCCAAAGCAAAGCAGAGGCACAAACCTTGTTTCCTGCAGCCTGGAATCTTGATAAATGCCCCATAATCTGTCACTGCGGCCACCTGTGAAGAAAACCCAACACAGCAGCTGAAGGAAGACTCTGCCCAAAGTTCCATTTTGAAATCACAGGTGAGAAAATGCACAAGAAATCCAAGGAGTTGCCCTGTTTTCCTCCAGTTTTGGGGTTCAGGGCAGGTCAGGCAGAGCAGGGCTTTGGGACTGGGGCAGGTGTTGTTCAGATCAGCATCTTAGAGGGGTGTGGATATAAAATCATGGAGTGGTTTGGGTTGGAAAGGACAGAACCACAGAATCAATTAGGATGGAGAAGCTCTGTGAGATGATTGAGTCCAACTTGTGACCCAACACCTTCTAAAAGCCTTTAAAACTTTATTTAAGTGAATATTTAAAATATATGTTATCTTTGCATATAATTATAAATGCAATATATATTATATAAAGTGTAACTGATAACTTATGACATTAATTAAGTTTATTTAAGTTCTTTAAAAGCTTTTTTAAATGGACCTTTAACCTCATCCCATTCCACTCCCTGCAATGGGCAGGGACACCTTCCACTAGCACAGGTTGCTCCAAGCCCTGTCCAGCCTGGCCTTGGACACTTCCAGGGATTCCAGGAGCAGCCACAGCTTCTCTGGGAATTCCATTCCAGGCCCTCACCACCCTCACAGCCAGGTCCTTCCCAATATCCCACCCAAATCTCCCCTTCTCCAATTTGAAGCCATTCCCTGTGTCCTGTCCCTCCATCCCTTGTCCCCAGTCCCTCTCCAGCTCTCCTGGAGCCCCTTTAGGCCCTGCAAGGGGCTCTCAGGTGTCCCTGGATCCTTCTCTTCTCCAGGGGAACCCCCCCAGCTCTCCCAGCCTGGCTCCAGAGCAGAGGGGCTCCAGCCCTGGAGCATCTCCAGGGTCTCCTCTGGACTCTCTGCAGCAGCTCCAGGTCCTTGTGC